TTAAAAAAAGAATTTATCTTATAAAGTATAATGCCATTCATTATAAAGTTGTTATAGCAAAATATTGCAAATCTACTCAGTGTTTGTTTTTACATGGTTGGTCAGATAAATTATGTATACCTCTTACAAAAAAAAAAAAGTGACCTGGGGGAGGAGGCAGGGAGGCAGAGGGGGTAAAATGTACAACAGTGACTGAATGAAGATCTAACTTCTCTGTAAACTTTCCTTGAAATCACAACTAAAAATTTTTATTAAAAAATCATCGAAGATTGAGCGTCTTGTTGCAGCGCAACCCAGATAACTCATCATCTCGCCCTGGATCTGCTGTGTTCGAATCCTCCTGTGATCTGCAGAGCTTCAGCGGCTGACTTTAGGCAGTAAATCACCAGCCTTTTTTTCTAGCATGTCTCCATCTGGAAGCTCTGCTGACCCTCTTCACCTTGAATGGTCCTGCTCATGTGTGAATCATTGATCATGCAGCTTCCAGTATCACAGCAACACACGAGATGTTCTCGTAAGCGGCATTCATCAATTGTAACTGATGCTGTAAACCAAAAGGTATATGAATGATTGAATAAAAACCAATTAAAAAAATATGTCCTGATGGTGGCAGTGCAGCCAGAGGGCTCCTTGGGAGCCAGGATGGAGACTCTGTTTCTTATACCTTGGGCATATTATCAGGAAGACAGCACACTTGGAACAGTAGAGGGTCAGCTCATGAAGAAGATCCTATTGAGATGGGTTGACGCCGTGACTGGGACAGTGGAGACTGTGAGGATGCTGGGGGATCAGCGTGTCTCCTCTGTGGTCTATCACTCTGCGTTAGAGCCACTACAATGGCATCTAACAACAAGACCCCAAGGACATCTTCTGTTAGAAAGATTGCATTGTGGACAAAACAAACATTCAAGTCCTATTCCCCGTAGATACGACCTTCTTTAGAAATAGAGGGTCTTTCTTTGAAGATGTTTTCAGGCAATAAGGTCCCATTGGGACTAGGATGGGTCTTAATCGTGCACAATTGGTACCTTATAAAAAAGGACATATTTAGAGATGAGTCACACACACACATAAGAGAGGATATCCTGTGATTAAACAGCAAAGAAAGGAACATGAGAGGTGGCTGGGGGTCACCAGCATCAAGGGCAGAGGTGTGGAGCAGGTCTTCTCTCAAAGGAACCAACACAGCCAAGACCCTGATTTGGAGAGCTAGCCTCCACTACCATGAGAAAACAACTTCCTGGTTTTAAAAGCCATTTACTTTGAAGTAGTCATGTAGCGCTTACGGTCCTGGTGGGCAATGTTCCAACCACATATGTCTGTGGTCTCTAACCCCATTCAGACTATGTTAAAAATTCAAGGCACATACTATGGTTCATAGTAACAAAGGAGATGGTGTCACCTTGTGACTCCATCAACACATTAGTATTATTACTGCATTGTTATGTTAAAGAGAGAGAGGAACCTAAGGGTCAGACTAAGTAGGCTTCAGCTGCCAAGGAGAAGTCATTGGAATAAAGATGCCCTTATGAATGGATAAAAAGGAGATTGTTGGAATCTTACATGATTGAAATAGAAGGTTAGGATGAGAGATATCCGAGTTGACCTGGGGCCAGCTGATAAGTGTCAGACTTCTGTTTGATGTCCCTGTCAAAGAAGGGCTGGCCATCCTCTGAAAACCTGGCATGCACAGTTCTACTCTGGTACACATGGGGCAAAAGGTTTTTAACTGAACAATTGTTGGTTGAACCCATGGAGACGCACTTCAGAGGAAAGACTGGAGGCCTGCTTCCAATGTTTACAACCACCGCAACTCTTAGGGTGAAACTGGATTCCAAAATTCATGGGGTCACCAACCCATTTTTGACAGCGGTTCTATTGGTTTTGATCAAGTGGAGACGCTGCACCATCGAGCATAAAGATCCGGGCATCTCGTGTCCCACACACAAGCAGGGAGCAAGGCCATTTTTATTAGCAATAGTCTCCACCTTCTTCTGATTATCTGCAGATTTCCGGGCTCATAATCACCCTGGATGTCAGAAAGGAAGGAGGGGGTGGGAAGAGGCTAAGAGGCTCTAAATCCGCTAACGCTTGCTCCTTCCTTCGCCACAAGATTAGAGGAGCCAGCAGTTTGCACGGGTCCAGCCGAGTGGGCCTGGGGGCGCCACCAGGGCCGAGGGGCAGCTCAGGGGCGCAGCGACTAGCCCTGGGGGAGCAGGCCAGAGGGCCCCCACCAGCCACAGAGGCACAGCGTGGAGGCAGCCTCCCCCAGCCATGCTGAAGCAGAGCGAGAGGAGGCGCTCTTGGGGCTACAAGCCCTGGAGCACGGATGGTGAGGATGCGCCAAGCACCGGGGGCGGCCACCACCGGCCCAGCATCTGCTCGGTGAGCGCGCGCTCCGGCTCCCAGGCTAGCATCCCGCCGTGGACAGAGGGCAACTACAACTACTACATCGAGGAGGACGAGGATGGCGAGGAGGACGACCAGTGGAAGGAGGACCCCACCGAGGAGGCCAGAAGCGCGCAGGAGGCCGGTCAGGATGACACCCCGGCCCTGTCGTCCACGCTGCACGTGAACGTGGGCGGCCAGAGCTACCACCTGGACTACAGCGAGCTGGCCTGCTACCCCAAGACGCGCCTGGGACGCCTGGCCACCTCGACCAGCCGCAGCCGCCAGCTGGGCCTGTGCGACGACTATGAGGCACGCACGGAGGAGTACTTCTTCGACCGTGACCCCGCGGTCTTCCAGCTGGTCTACAACTTCTACTCGTCGGGCGTGCTGCTGGTGCGCGACGAGCTGTGTCCCCGCGAGTTCCTGGAGGAGCTGGGCTACTGGGGCGTGCGCCTCAAGTACACTCCGCGCTGCTGCCGCATCTGCTTCGAGGAGCGGCGGGATGAGCTGGCGGACCAGCTCAAGATCCAGCGCGAGCTGCGCGCACAGGCGCAGGCTGAAGAGGCCGAGGAGCAGTTCCAGCACATGCGCTTCTATGGCCCACAGCGCCGCCGCCTCTGGAACCTGCTGGAGAAGCCCTTCTCGTCCGTGGCGGCCAAGGCCATCGGCGTGGCCTCCAGCCTCTTCGTGCTGGTCTCCGTGGTGGCGCTGGCGCTCAACACGGTGGAGGAGATGCAGGGCGGGCGCGGGGCGCGCGGAGGCGGGCGGCCGCTGCTGGAGCACGTGGAGCTGCTGTGCATCGCCTTCTTCACGCTCGAGTACCTGCTGCGCTTGGCCTCCACGCCCGACCTGCGGCGCTTTGTGCGCGGCGCGCTCAACCTGGTCGACCTGGTGGCCATCCTGCCGCTCTACCTGCAGCTGCTGCTGGAGGTCATCACGGGGGAGGACGGCCAGGGCTCGGCGCACGAGCACGACCTGGAGACGGTGGGCCGCGTGGGCAAGGTGGGCCAGGTGCTGCGGATCATGCGCCTCATGCGTATCTTCCGCATCCTCAAGCTGGCGCGCCACTCCACGGGGCTGCGCGCCTTCGGCTTCACGCTGCGCCAGTGCTACCAGCAGGTGGGCTGCCTGCTGCTCTTCATTGCCATGGGCATCTTCGCCTTCTCGGCTGCTGTCTACTCCGTGGAGCACGACGTGCCTGGCACCAACTTCACCAGCATCCCCCACTCGTGGTGGTGGGCCGCGGTGAGTCCCACAGTCCCGGCCTCCGCCCCGCTCCCTGGCCGTGCAGAAGCAGGCTCTCCCCGTCCCGGGCAAGGAATCTGCTGCTTTGCAGAGCACCGGCTACTCGCTGCGCCAAGTGGCCACATCCTGCTCGCAAACGTGGCTAGGACAGTGAGCAGTGGAGTCCGGTGGGATGACCGATGAGGGGAGAGGTTGGAAAGGCAGACATCCCGCAGTCCACCATGAACTCTGGCCAGGGCCTGCTGTAGTCGGGCAGTGTCACATTCTTTCTGCCTCGAGTGACCCGTCTTGGTAGATGAGAACTGCCGGGTTGGGTTTTACTTGGTTGTGCCTCTAACCCCAAGGTCTAGGGTGTGAACCGGCCAGCAGCTCCACAGGCCAAAGATGAGCCCGATGGCCTGCTTAAAATAATGCATGGCCTTGAAAATCCTATGGGTCCTATGGGAGCGAATGGATATCAGTGGGGGTTTTGTTTGGGGTATTTAGCTTTTGAAAGCAGCGTGCCAGGTCATTCTCTGTGGAGCCACTGAGTGGGTTTGAACTGCTGACATTTGTGTTAGCAGGGATTGTCTAACAGTTCTTCCAAAACACTTTTTAAATTTAGTCCTAGGAATCTCCTAATCCAGATTTAGTCTTAAATCCAGGGCAGGTGAACTTGAAGGAGGATTCATCAATATAGGAAGTGCTTTTTTCACCACTTACTGACTGGCACTCACATGCTGGATGGTACAGTTAGAGGCACCCTGCTGCTCAGAAGAATGTAGGAAGTTCAAGTTCAGCTGGAGGCACCTCAGAAGAAGCCCAAGGCCTCTTCCTTTCCCAAATCTGCAATTGGAAACCCTCAGTGTACAGTTCTGCTCTGACATAGAGGGGGCATTCCTTCCATTCCATGCCAGCTGCTTTGGGTTCTTAGTTTGTGTGAAGGTTTAGAGTACCTGCTTGTAACCCTAGTTCTGCCAGTAGTTAACCGTGACACCTTGATCCATATTCCCTGGCCCTCAGTTTCCCCTTCTCTAGAAGAGGGAATTGGGTTTGTAGGGGAAGGCCCTCAATGGCTTGACACAGTGACTGCAATAGTGGAGTCAAACAGAAACAAAGCTGATGGCACAGGACGGGGTAGACTTCCGTCTGTTGTGCTTGGGGCTCTCTGGGTTGGAGTGGAAGCAAGACCACCAAGCATCAGGTTAGTGACTCTCTTCTCTGGAACAGGTTCACCAGGCTTTGCAAAATCCCTTCAGGGGCAGGATGACATTAGACTCCTTAGAAAAAAGCCAGCCAAAGGCCACTCCTCTGATCGGGTTCCAAATGGCAAAAGGTCATCCCCATAGTAGATAAACCGTGTGTACAGATGCAGCTGCCCAGGCTGGCACGTTTTCCGCAGATGATGTTTACTTTGCATGTGTTGGAGACCAGACCTACTCCGCGTGGTTTCAAAGCTGTGACCTTTCTGGAGGTTTCAGCAGGGGCGTGTCCTCCAAGGTGCTTCAGGGTGGGGTCCGACCTCCAGCCACAAGGCTAGTGGTTTCTGTCAATGCCATTCCTCTCCTGGCAAACCCACAGGCGCTGACCGGAACTGCCCCTCAGCAGCCAGCACATAGAGCGTGCTCCGGACGTGGCAGACATCTAGAGTTGACTTTCCATTCCTCCTGATACTTTTAAAGGGACAGTGGGCTTCTTACTACTGCACTAATCAATACTAACATCATATAGAAATTATGTTAGTTACAGAACAGAGGTCAGATCTTTGGTGCAAAACTTACTCTCAGTTGTATTCGACTTGATGACACTAAACCACTGCTAAATTAAACTAGTGCTGTTTATATCTGGAGGAACAGTCTTCCCCTTTGTACATCACTCTTTGTCAATGTGCAGTATGAAGTAACCTGGGTTGCTGTGATGCTGACCCTTGTACTACGGTTGGGGTAGAATGGTTTCCCAGTGTGGACAGTGTTTGGTGGAGCTCCCAGTTGTAAAACAGGTTTGTAAGCAGGAGTGGCATCCACTTCCTAAACCACATGCCTCTGGAAACTCTGTGAACTTGGAATTGACAATCATTATGGAAAGGCATTAGGTCTTTTGTCCATGGCATCGCTATGAGTCGCGCTTGACTCAATGGCAATCAACAACAATCCATACACCACTTTACTTTTATTGAACTAAAGATTTGGATACAAATCCCCTTAAAAATAGTGGAATTTTTTAAAAAAAAGACAATTTTTTAATGTGGATGTTGAGTGAACCTACTTAATTTCTTGGTCTGTTCTTTGTCTCTATCAAAGTTCAAAACTTCTGCCATTTTCTCCGTCCTAGTCTTCAGCCAAGCCATCCTGAATGACACCTCAGGAAGTTTCTCATTTGTGTGCGCTTTCCCTTTGCATGTCTGAAGTTATTTAACTCAGGATCAGAATCTCTTGTAAACTTCCCAGTAGACACTGGTTGATCATTCAGTTTGAGCATTAATCAGTCGGTCACTGCCGTGGAATTGGAACCCACGCGAAGCCAACTCTCCAGCAGGTTTTCTGAGGCTGTAAACCACACCGGAGGGGCTTGTTCAGCAGCAGCTCGTGGATTCGAACTGCCAGAGGTGCCACCTTTACGTTAGCAGCGCATCTCCCTACAGACAGTGCCACCAGCATCCCTGTGTGTCCTTCACAGAACAATGGAAGATAAGAGAGAGCTTGATAGAGAGAGATTGCTGTAGCTGTCGATTCTGATTTGTGGTTAAGGATGCTGAGGACCCACCAGTGGGTTTTCAGAGGCAGTAAATTGCATGGGAGGAGATTGCCCATCTTTCTCCTTAGACGCAGCCGGTAGATTAGAACTGCGTACCTTTGGGTTAACAGCACAGCTCCTTATACTCTAAGCCTGTAGAGCTCCCAGATATGGATATATTAATTACTACTTGGGACAATATTAATTCTTTAGAGGGGGGGGTGTCCATTGTCTCCCAGACACTCTTTTCGCAGATTGTACATTTCCACCTTACCATGTACATACAGCTCTGGCCTTTGTTTTATTCTCTGAGAATTACCTAAACTAGTAAAGATCATAAATTAGCTAAAGGACTGGTAACCTATCTCTAGTTCTAAACCAATGTAAAAACTTGTAAGTATGTACAACATGACCATTTCCACCCTGAATATTCAGTTGTTGTTGCCGGGTGACATCAAACCGGCTCTGACTCCTGACCTCCTGACCCCGCGCTGACCTCACAGTCCCTGCCATGCAGAAGCCATTGTCACAGGTACTGTGTCCGCCTGTCTCGTGGAGGGTCTTCCTAGCTTCTGCTGACTCTGTATGTTTCCAAGTACAATGATGTCACAGCGATTGCAACAAAGGGCTTGAACAGAGTGGAGGCTGTGAGGATGGAAGAGGACCTTGTCCTGCGCTCCTTGAGGTCACTAGGTGTTGAAGGCAGCTCACTGGCATCTAACAACAACCACAGGCCCAATCGTCTCTCCAATGATGGGTGTTTTACATGAAAGATCACAGCCTCCAGAACCCTGAGGGACCTTGCAGAGCGAGCTCTCCTCTGAGCAGGGGTGGATTTCAGGCTGATGACCGGAACTCAAAGAGTCCATCTGGATGTCTTGAACACCCTGGCTGGCTTGGACATGCAGAGAACCAGAAGCTTGCCACTCTGTTGAAAATGTACGTTTTCTCAGCCTTGGGGTCCCTAAAGCCAACACGTGACATCCTCTCTGTGGTTCTCCCAGCAGTCAGATGCCCAGCGATACAAAGAGGACACACATCCCATTTTCCTCCAAAACTTTAGAGAGACAGCAGTGAATTACTCATTTGACAGGAACATCTGTTTGCACATCATGAACTCCACCATCCATCACCATCCACCTACTCTCTCCCATCCCATGGTAACCCTGCTGGGTACTGGAGACCGACTCCAGGGGTTCCAGCGCCGTCATCCTCTGGAAGCAGACCGCCGCCTCCTGCTCCCATGAGGTCGTCTGCGGGCTTAAACTGCCAACCATCTGGTGAGCTACCCATTGCTTAATTCCTTGGCCGCAAGGGCTCCTTAATAATGAATTGGGGGGGGGAATGAATTAGGCACAGATGAAATCTGAAGGACAACCACCTGGCCAACTGACTGGAAGAGATCTGTATTTGTTCCCATTCCCCAAAAAGGTCACCTAACAGTGTGGAAATTATCAAGCGATATCACTAATATCACACACAAGCAAGATCCTACTCAAGATTGTAAAAAAAATGACTGGGGACAGCATATCAGCAGAGAAGTTCCAGATGCTGGGTTTGGAAGAAGCCATGGCACTGGGGACATCATAGCCAACGTTAGATGGATCTTGGCTGAAAGCAGAGTGTACAAGGAATGTGTGTCGGTGTTTCATTGACTGTGCAAAGGCATTTGAGTGTGGGGATCACAACAAATTGTGCCTAATCTTGAGAAAAATGAGGATCCCAGAACACTTGATTGTGCTTATATGGAGGCTGTACTTGGACTAGGAAGCGGTCATCAGAACAGAGCAGGGAAACACTGCATGGTTCAGGATCAAAGTGTGTGTCAGGGATGCGTCCTAGCTCCATACCTTTTCAATCTGTTTGCAGAACAGATGATCCTGGAGGCTGGGCTTTATAAGGAGAAATGTGGATCAGGATTAGAGGAAGACTCATGAACAACCTGCCTTATGCAGATGACACAACCTTGCTTGCTGAAACTGAAAAAGACATGAGGCATTTGGTGCAGAAGGTCACGGACTGTAGTCTTCAATATGGATTGAAGAAAACAAAGATTCTCACCACTGGGCCACTTAGCAGCTTCCTGATGGACAGACAAGAGGTTGAGATTGTTGGTAACTTCAGCTTGTTCATTGTGTTCATGTGAAACCTGGACCTGGAAGCAGTCCTCAGAACAGAGCAGGGAAACACTGCATGGCTCAACATCAGGAAAGGATTGCGTCAGGGATGCATCCTATATCCATACATTTTCAATATATATGCAGAATGCACCGTCTGAGAAGCAGGGC